TGTAGGTAATTTTTTTTTAGTTTTACCTACACTAATTCAAGTCTATAGGTAAAAGTGTCTGTAGGCATATGTTATTTCTTTTGTAGTGAGAGACGGGCCTTTTGGCTCAATTTAGAAACTTAAGTTTGACTTGTGAGGTTACCCTTAGTAGTGTGAGACTAGGTATGACTCAAGTGACTAGTAAATTGTTAAAGGAGATTAGAAAGACACAATTAGTAGATTCATTTTTAGTGGCTAGACGTGATGCTATAAGACAAGGTAAGGAAGGGGAATTTACCTTGGGTGTAGATGGAGTGGTAATATTTAGAGACCGAGTGTGTGTGCCTAGTGTCCCTACACTTAGACGTTTGATCCTAGAGAAAGGTCATAAGAGTAAGCTTAGTTTCCACCAAGGAGCAACTAAGATGTATTAAGACCTTAGGAAGGTATTTTGGTGGCCTGGGATGAAGAAAGACATAGCTAAATTTGTGAGTGTCTGTTTGGTGTGTCAATAGGATAAGATAGAGTATCAGAAACATTTAGGATTACTTTAACCTTTGAGTATACCCAAGTGGAAGTGGGATAGCATTTCTATGGACATTGTAGTTGCTTTGCCTAAAACTGTGAGAGGGCATGATTCAATTTGGGTTATAATTGATAGGTTAACTAAGAGTGCACATTTTTTACCTATTAATATTAGGTATTTTCTAGAGAGACTTGTTAAACCGTATATCGATGAGATTGTGAGATTGCATGGGATACCATCCAGCATAGTGTCAGACAGAGACCTTAGGTTTACCTCTAGGTTTTGGGAGAGTCTACAGCGAGCTTTGGGGACCCAACTTAGACTTAGTTTAACTTACCACCCTTAGACTAATGATCAGACTGAGAGGACTACCTAATCCTTAGAGGATTTTCTTAGAGCCTGTGTGTTGGACCAAGGAGGTAGTTGGGATAGTCTTTTACATTTAATAGAGTTTACTTTTAATAATAGTTACCATTCTAGTATAGTTATGCCACCTTATGAAGTCTTCTATGGTAGGAGGTGTAGGACGCCTTTGTGTTGGTGTGATTTGGGTGATAGTGTTACCTTAGGATCTCAGATTATGCAGCAAACCACTGATAAGGTTAGGATGATACAAGAGAGGATGAGGGCAACTTAGAATAGATAGAAAACTTATGCTGACAAGAGGAGGAAAGACTTGGAATTTCGAGAAAGTGACCATGTGTTCTTGAAAGTCACTCCATGGACTAAGGTTGGTAGGGCATTAAAATCCAAAAACTTACTCCTTGGTTTATTGGTCCTTTTCAAATCCTTAAAAGAGTCGGTAGCATTGCCTACTATTAAACAAGTTGCCTCAAATAACTTAAGAGGGGGGGGGGGGTGAATTAAGTTTTCTAAGTATTCTCTACTTTTTAAATTTTCAGAACTACTTTCTTATAAATTCAATTTCCTTAGTAAAATCTATATGTTGAAAATGAAAAATGCACACTTCTTAAACATAATTAAAATGAATAATTAAAAGAGTAAGGAGAAGGAATCGCAAACTCGTTTTTATACTGGTTTGACCAATCATACCTACGTCCAGTCCTCAAGTCTCCACCTTGAGATTTCACTATACTTGTAATCCTTACAATTCTTGAATCCTCCAACACCTTGGAATTTCCTTTCCTTGTGTTGAGATCCAAAACCACCCAGGAGAAAAACATTTTTCTCCTTTATAGATTGAATGATAGAATGGGTTTTATAGAATAACTCTCTTAAAGAGTAGATATTACAGTATGATGAACCTTATAGAACTCTTAAAGAATTTGCAAGTAATTACGTCTCGTGCTCACAAACGGGCAGAACCGAGACATCCAAAGCGCCTATCCCCTAGGACTCCCCCAAGCTGTTACACAAGGAGGGCCTTCCCTAATGGTGTACTCCATATCTTACCTGTCACATAGATGCACATGATGCATGTCATACATATTCACACTTCATGGACTCATCGTGATATGTGATTATGAGACACGTGACTGGCACCACATGCATGCATTTATGAATCGAGTCCATGACATCATTGCATTATGAATGACTGTGTATGTGTTACTATTGTATGTATAATTTGAATTTGCACTTGATTAATGTGTAGTTATGGAAGTGCTTGTTATGATTTGTGTATGTGTGGCCTGACTATTATTTTTACACCTGAACCCGAGTGAGATGTTTCTCACTCCCTTGTTGTTCTTTGTATGTGTTTAAATTGTGTTGTAGGTGATCCTCAACATGAGGATGTTGGTGATGAGGCTTAGGCTTCAATTGGAAATGCTCTGATAGGATATATGACATCGGGGTGTAGCTAGGCTTAGTTTAAGATTTCATTATTATTATTTTATTTTTGAAAAACTCATGTTTCATTTTCTTATAAATTTCGCATTTGATCATGATTTAAGTTTACGAATGTGAATTCTCTACTCTTATGTTAGTGGCACTAGTGCAAAATAAGGTTACTACGTCACCCCTTTTACGTCGGAAATACTAAAATTCGACGTAAAAAAAACGCGGTGGCTTTTTTGTAATTTTCGTGAACTTTTTTACGTCGAACCTATGAGGGTCTGACGTAAAAAGTCCAATCTACGTCGGAGGTATGTTGTGTCCGACGTAGATTTGACATTTTACGTCGGACCCTATCAGGTCCGACGTAAAAAAGTTCGCGAAATTGAATAAGAGAGTGCGAGGCACACCGCACGCATTCACTCTTCATCACTTTTTGTTTTTTTCTCTATAAACCATCTCCCTATCCTTTGTTACTGAATCATTTTTTTGTCTTTTGCAAAGGGGTGAACTCTTTGTTACTCATTCGCACACTGTTGCAGCTCATCAGGTATGAATCAAGGTTTCAATAACACTTTTCTACTTCGCATTGCTACTGTGGCTATCTGTTTTATTCGATTTTTTTGGTTGTTCTATTTGTATAGGTCGTTGGCGTTTTCTTTTGGGTTGTTCTACGAAGTAGAACGGACTGTTCTGCTTGCAAAACGACCCGTTCTCCAAGCAGAACGGGCCGTTTTGAATGGAGAACGGGCCGTTCTGCAAGCAAAACGGGTCGTTGTGCAAGCAAAACGGGCCTTTCTGCAAGCAAAATGGGCCGTTCTGCAAGCAAAACGGGTTGTTCTGCAAGCAAAACGGGCCGTTCTGCAAGCAAAACGGGCCGTTCTGCAAGTAAAACAGACCGTTTTGCTTGCATTCATATGTTTTTTTTTATATTATTTTTTACTACTTTTTTACGTCGGATTTGGTAATGTCCGACGTAAATTTACGTCGATTTTACAGTTCCGACGTAAAGTTACGTCTCCCACATTTATGTCGGTATTTTTCTAACGTAAAAATTAAGCTCAAAATATCCGACGTGAAATACCTCTTTTGTACTAGTGTGGAACCATGGTTTTAATTCTAAAGATTTTTTTTTATCCAAGAAGATGTTTTTATAATTATTATATATGTATATTGGGGTAGAGGATCTCACAAGTGTAAATTATTTTTTAATAAAAAGATAAAAAGTTTATTTATTTATTTATTTTACATAAGAGAGGAGGACTAGAGATGGATCCAAAGGAAGGCAATATAAAATATATCTTAGTATAAAATTGTTTAAAAAATTAATTTAAAAACTTATGGAAAAATTTCAATAATAATTAATATTTTGAAGTTTCAATATGTTTTTATTACTTATAATCTTTAACTAATTCTTTATATTATAAAGTAAGAACAAAAGAATTGGCTTCCGTTTTATTAAGCTTCTGGATCCGTTACTGGGGAGGAAACAACTAATAAACTTTAAAAACAAGTTATTTTGAGAAAGATTTTATCTCTAGATTCAACTGCTTTTGTTGAAAGTAAAATAAACTTCTTGTTCGGGGCAACAAATGAAATTTATAACCAATTTTTCCCCCTGAAAAATAAGTTATTTGTTTGAATTTAAAAATTTGAAGCTTATGATTATTATTTACCACTTTTTTTTTAAAACTAATTTATTATATAAAAGCTGATTTTTATTGTATTCAAACAAAATTAAATAACACAAACTTGTTTTTGCAACAAATTTATCCAAACAAAAATGTAATATGATTGCAATCAATTATACATATAATCGATTATTAAAATAATATAATTTTTACAACATTTTCATGCATATTATTCTTAGAGTGTGTTTGTGAAAGATTATCATCCCCACAGTCAACTATTTTTGCTTTTGGGGAAAAGCTGTTTGAAAAAAAAAACTTGTGTTTGAAATAAAATCTTAAATTTGTAAATATTTTTTTTTTAAGAAAATAAATTGTTTTATGAAATGAAAAATTTAACTTATTATGATAAATTTTTAACAATATATATTTTAAATCTGATTTACTACAAAAATATTGATTTCTTTTATGGTATTAAAATAAAATTAAACGTTTTAAAATCGTTTTTTAGCAAACTTAAATAAAATTTTATTTTGATTATAATTAATTTATTAAAATAATCTAATTTCTACAGTTTTTTCAAACACACTCTTAATACAATCCTTTTTAATTTAAGAATTTAATTGAAAATTTTTAAAAAAGTTTAAGGACAATATTAAATCAATATTAAATTATATAGTTCATTTACTTCAACAACTAAAAATAATAATTATCCTAATGAAACGATACACATTTTTTTACCCTTTAAAACGGGACCCTCGTTTACGTGCAAGATTTAAGAAATTTCAACCATGCATAATGTTTCCTGAACATTATTATTGCAACCACGTACGAATTCAAGAAGAAGACGACAACTAAAAATTTGATTTTACTTAAAATTGGATTTTGCCTCACTATCCAACACGTGCACGTGAGCTAACCTAGGCAGCTAACACTCTTCCACCTAAAATTAAAATGATAATTATTAATTAATTACCCTACCTAATAACTTGCCATGTAGCCATAAACTATTCACCTTTATATAAACAACTCACTAGCATAACCTTGCCATCTTCAACTCTTCAATTCTACAACATGACTTTTGATGCATTCCTTCTCAGAGAACTTGGTGTTGCCCTTCTCATCTTCTTCATCTCACACTTCTCCATTAGATTAATCATAAAAAATTCTAGAAACCTTCCACCAGGCCCAAGAGGATGGCCAATTCTTGGTGCCCTACCACTTTTGGGTACCATGCCTCATGTCACACTCACAAACATGGCCAAGAAATTTGGACCCATCATGTTCCTCAAAATGGGCACTTGTGACACTGTGGTTGTCTCAAGCCCAGATGCTGCCCAAGCATTCCTCAAGACCTTGGATCACAATTTCCTAAACAGGCCCACAATTGCTGGGGCAACCCACTTGGGGTACAATGGCCAAGACCTTGTTTTTGCAAATTATGGGCCTAAATGGAAGCTCCTTAGGAAACTAACCATTCAGCACATGCTTGGTGGGAAGGCCCTTGGTGATTGGGCCCATGTGAGAACAAGTGAGGTGAAACACATGGTAAGAGCCATGCATGAGTGTGCCAAACAAGGGGAACTTGTAGAGCTGGGTGATTTGTTGAGTTGTGCAATTACTAATATGGTGAGCCAAGTGGTGCTTAGCCAACGCATATTTTCAAATAAAGGGTTTGAGTCTAAGGAGTTTAAGGACATGGTGGTGGAATTCATGACAATTTCTGGGGTGAATATTGGTGATTTTGTACCTTGCATTGCTTGGATGGACTTACAAGGTGTGGTGGGTAAGATGAAAAGGTTGCATAAGAGGTTTGATGTGTTCTTAACAAAAATTATTGAAGAGCATGTAAAGTCTTCTCATGAACGAAAGGAGAAGCCAGATTTTCTTGATATTGTGATGTCAAATGGAGAGAATCCTTCCCAAGAGGGATTGACTTTGTCCAACATCAAGGCTCTATTATTGGTATATGTCTCTTTCCCAAGTTATTATCTAATTTTACTTTCTAATTGTATATATCTGTCTTTTTGTGCTCCTGATATGACCCTTTTTTAAAATTAAAAGTTTATTTATATAGTGAATAATTAAAAAAAACATATAAAAAATTCTTCGGAATTTTATGAGTTAAAATTGTAACAAGTGCACTTTAAATTAAATAAAAATATTGAATATTGTTTAACTTGTTTATTTGCAAATAAGTTTATTTTAATGATTTTTTTCCATTTAATCTTATAATTTTTCTTTCTAATAATATAAAAATATTTTATTTTAAAAGATCAACAACAACAGTTTTTTTCACCATTTCTATTTTTTAATATAATTAATCTTCGGTCTTGCTAGCAACCATCACCATAGGATTTTAGTAAAAAATATGCGAGATAAATCTTCTAGTAATGTTGATTGTGATAAATGTTGATCTCCGAAAAGAAATCAGTAACTTAGGTCATTATTGGTCAATAACCTATAAGATGTTATATTACACTACTATAAAACTGTCATTTTCTTGCATATTTTCCTACAAAAAAAATATTCGCAGATTTTTTTTGCGAATTTTCTTGTAAAAAAATATTCGCAAATTTTTTTTGCGAATTTTCCTAAAAAAAATATTTGCAAATTTTTTTTGCTGGTACTCCCAAAAAGCTCACTTTTCAGTTCTGGCTTCTTTTCAATTCTGACTTCTTTTCCTTCTACATTCTCTAAAGACCGAGGGGAACCTAGAGGAAGAGACCAACTAGATCCTGCTCTAATTTTAGCTACTACTTATCAAGGTACGGGGGGAAAAGGGGATTATTTGTATGTAGAGTTACATGAGGATGTAGAGTTACATGAGGGAATTGGGTAGAGGAAGAGTCGCTTAGGATTATGGGTAATTTTATAATTATTTCTATTTGAGGAATTGGTGATTCCATTAGATTTTACATGTATTGAGGATTAGAAATATATATTTAATATGTCAGAATAATGATCTGGGAGAGAGAACGAAATTGTAGAAAAGTGCTTGTGAGTTAGGTTTCGGAAAAATTGGGGGTTTTACTGTTTGGGTTAAGATTCTATTAACTTGGTTATTTAATCTGGTTTTATATTAATTTATTAATATTATTGTTACATTATTTGGTAAAATTGATGATCTAGATATGGAATGTGGTGTGCTGCCTTTGTACAAATGTATACATTATATCTACTGATTTAATATTGAATTGATAACATGATGTGAATATGTTGACATGAAATGAGATGTTGATGTGATATGATTGTGGTTCCTCACACATATGACCAGGGATGAGACGACCCTTGGGTAAGTGATGCTACAGGGATGGCGTGCCCCTAGCATAATGTGGGATGAGTGAGGCAATTAACACGTATCACTTATGTAAAATGTGGCGTGGCCTTGGCATAGGGTTAATTGTAAGATTTGTGTGGATTATGAATGTAATTGTGGTTCCTCACACTAATGACCAGGGATGAGTCGACCCTTGGGTAAGTGATGCTACAGGGATGGCGTGCCCTTAGCATAGTGTGGGATGAGTGAGGCAATTAACACATATCACTTATGTCAGATGCGGCGTGGCCTTGGCATAGGGTTAATTGTAAGATTTGTGTGGATTATAAATGTGATTGCGGTTCCTCACACTAATGACCAGGGATGAGACGACCCTTAGGTAAGTGATGTTACAGGGATGGCGTGCCCCTGGCATGGTGTGGGATGAGTGAGGCAATTAACCCGTATCAATTATGTCAGTTGTGGCGTGGCCTTGGCAAAGTGTTAATTGTAAGATTTGTGTGGATTATGAATGTGAAAATGATAGTGTTAATTGCAAGATTTGTAATGGATTGGTATGATTGTAAATTGTGATGTGAATATGAGGCATGATTGATAGAATTATAAATGATTGTAAATATTTCATTATGTAATGAGTTATGATGAGATTACATTGTGGTGTGTTTGTATGTGCTTTACATATAGATATTTTCTTTTCTCATCGTATAAATTGTGGATGTTTTAGTTGAGGAAGATCCGACTTTGAGTGACATCTAGAATGCCAACAATTGAATTGTGGGTGTGTTCTAGTATTGTGACATCGGGGCAGAGGATTTTAGGACATATATTTTATTTGTATATAGAGTTGTACTTATTATTTTGAAAACATTTTGTAACCTCTTATATTTTATTTTCCAAGTTTCATTTTTGAAATATTTTGGATATTGAAGAATGTTTCTAAAGGTTTTTATGTGAACCCTTTTACCGATGTTGTAAATTTTATTTCCTTAGTTTATTTATATTATTACAATATATGTGTTGGGGGTGGTAAGGGTGTCATACACATACTATTAAGTTATTAGTTTGAGTGTTATTGGACTTGATTCTCTTGAGTAAGATATCATGATAACCAATCAAATTCTCCAATAAATAAAATATATAAAGGTCCATATTTATCACTTTTCCTAGATCCCATAAAATGTCAAGATTGACCTCGATTACCACACAATGGGTAAGAAACAAAATCCATTGTCACTAGGATGAAGATTTATCAAGAGACAGTCAAAGTTTCATGGTTGACCATGTTTACTTCTCATCACACTCATCTATTTATAATATAAAAATATGAGTTATGAAGTAACAGGTAACAATATTTGCTTTAATGCTTTATTGTTCAATTATATGCTATGTGTTGTTTAAATGTTTTTATGTTGTAATTAATTGTTATTTTAGGACTTCAAGGGTCAAGGGTCCCTTGAGAGTTAGGTTGTTCTAGAGTTGTTTTTAGTTGAGGTCAAGTTTATCAAGTTGACCAAGTTTAGGGGAAGGTATTTAAGGTTTTCTTAAGATTTAAACTTCATAAAATCCTAAGAAAACTAGAGAGTAGTTAGAGAGCTAGGCTTTAAAGTTGGAAAGAACTGTTTCTTTTTCTGACTCAATATATGCATCCTAAATCCTTCCTTGTAGCTAAGTAGTATTGTTAGATTGGAGGATTCAAAGTTATGAGTTGAGACTCAAAGTTGTCATAAATTTTGAGACTCAATATTACTTTAATTTATTTTCTTATTGTCATAAATTTTTAAAAGATTTCAACTCAAGGCAATGCTAAAAGTTCATTTGATTGCAAACAGTCTCAAGTAAGATCAAGTTTTGAGTTATATAGAAAGTTCATCAAAATCAAGCAAGAAAAGATGATAAGAAATCTTGATGAAACTGATGCGCAACTAAAAGAAGTAAGATGGCCCAGTAAATGGCAACATAAGCATACATTAATGGTTTCACCACAAGCTCAATTCAAGTTATGTGAGTTTGCAGTAAAAGGTCGTGGATCTAAACAAATTCAAGAAACAAAAGGCAACCTATGAAAAAGGCAATGACTGATCTAGATAATGTTGAGACTCAATAATATACCTATGAAAAGGGAAAATCGTCAACTCGTAATGGCTAAAAATGAAGATTCTAGTGCTAGGAAGATAGCCAAAACAATTGCAATGTGCCCACCAATGTTAATTGACGAGTTTATTGAAATCCATGAAGATGTTGATGATGAAGAATATCTAGGAGATGAAATTGGTATGGAACAGGAAGAGAATGCACACTAAACTGATCACTACTAGAAAAGTGTCATTTTTCTGCAAATTTTCTTATAAAAAAATATTCGTAGAAAGTTTTTGTGAAATTTCCTGCAAAAAAATATTCACAGAAATTTTTTGCGAATTTTCCTGCAAAAAAATATTCGCAAATTTTTTTGCCAATTTTCTTGCAAAAAATAATTTATAGATATTTCTTACAAATTTTGCTACAATTTTAATAATCATGGAAAAAAAATTTCCATGGTAAAAACTTGCAGAAAATATTGTAAGAATTTTATTTTGTTTCTTGCAAAAATAATTTCGCAAGTAATGTTTACTAAATGGTAGAAAAATTTTGCAGGTAACTTTTCTTGCGGATTTTCCTGCAAATTTTAATTCGCAGGAAAAATAAAAAATATATATTTAAATTCATAAGTCTAATATTTTAAAAAATCTTCAAGTCTCACATCGATTGAAAATAAAACAATTAAAGAGTATATAAGTTGGGGTAATACTTACCTTACAAGTTGAATTGTATGGTTGTGTGTTAGACTTATAATCTACAATCTTAGAATTTAAAAGATTATGTATGAGGCATGAAAATAAAAGATTATGAATTCTTAAAATATATAATTTATAGTAATTTTTTTTTAATTTTTTCGTAAAAAATATTCCTGCAGAATTTCTTGCAAAAATATTCGCAGGAAAGTTTCCTGCGAATTTTTTTTGCAGGAAAATTTCCTGCAAATTTTTTTTTGCAGGAAACTTTCCTGCGAATTTTTTTCGCAGGAAATTTCGCAGGAAAATTTCCTGCGAATTTTAAAATTCGCAAAAATATATTATCCACGAAGGTATTACCTGCGAATAAAATTTCGCAGAAAAATTT